GATGATAATCATAATAGAAACATTGAAATGAAGAATAGAGAAAGTTGATGAAGCAAGTCTACGAGAAAACATAAAACAATTTAAAATACATATTGAACATAGATACAGATAAGAGTACAACCTCGATTTTCCGTACTTCGATTATCCGGGCGTGAAATGAGGAGGAAATCGGAAACCATTCGAATATTCTTCACTTAAGCGAACTAATACTGCGGTTTCATCAAAGACAAGAATTATTCAAAATTTAGAAGACGATATTAAACATTTGATAAAAAAATGCTAGTAAAATTCGATAATTTTGCTCTTCAGTGTCTATCTTACATATCTATGAGTCTACTATTCGGTTCATGTTTAGAATATTGCTGCCACATGAGGTCCGGTGCTTCTGCTATGTATTTACAGATTCTTTATAAAAGCAAGGTCTTGACCTGGCATCTCGGCTTCAGTCACTTTCCCATCGCCGTAAAGTTGCTTCCCTGTGCCTTTTCTATAAACACTTTCATGGTAATTGTTCGGATGAGCTATTCACTATGGTACCCAGACTTTGTGAATTTAAGCGTAGTATTAAATTGGCAACAAGGTCTTACAATTGAATTAGCTAGATGTAACCGCAAGTTCTAGGTTAAGAGTTTCTTTTCACGTACGTAGAATTCCCTTCTGGGTCCAGGCTTTCCCATTAACTTTGATCTTCAAAAACTGAAATACAATGTCAATTGTTATCTACTGTCTTCCTCCTTAGTCTGCTATTTTCTTGCATATTGGTAATGTTTTTGTTTTCTAATTCTGTGATACCTTGTGTCTTAGTGGCTTTGCTACCTTGCTTGGGGTAAATCCAAATAATAAAAAAAAATGTTGAATTAATTCTTGTTAATTTCCCCTTTGTTTTTATACAAAGAACATACATTTGAATTGTCATAGCTTGGTCAGGCCAGAGATTATGGCTTACCCTTAAAAATGAGCTCATTATAAACCATCTTGAGGAATTATCAGCAAAAAAAAAAAAAAAAAAAAAAAAAATGCGAGCGAGACCATCCGAAAACTAAAAATTAACGCATTTCTTTTCCCTCAAAAATAAACTGAATAATACCTTGAACAAATTACGGAAGTAATGTTTAACATTTTCCAGTTCGCCCCGATTATATTCAATCAATTGCTTAATCTTTCAATTGAATATTTCTACCATATCTGGTTTGGTTTGGTTTGGTTTACGGCATATCAAACTCAATGGGTTATTTAATGCTGACAAGATTTTTATTGCTGGTAATATTTTTTATCTATCTCTCTATCTGTCGTGGTCTCTTCATGTCTATTCCTCTCTTTTTATCCCTTCATATCTATCTATCTATCTTGGTCTCTTCATGTCTATCCCTCTCTTTTTGTCCCTATCTATCTATCTATCTATCTTGGTCTCTTCATGTCTATCCCTCTCTTTTTGTCCCTATCTATCTATCTATCTAAGTATATATTGGTTTGGTTGGACACCTTGACGTGGTGTAATGGTTAGAAAGCTTGTCTTACTAGATCAATTTCGTCTGAGTAGTGAGTTCGATCCTCACTGGGTGCCCCATACTTTCGGCCTTGTGCCACATCTAAGCCGGGCTTAGAAAATCACTATTGGGGAAGTTTGTTTTGCTTTACGGTATATCAACCTCAATGGGTTATTTAATGCCGACAAGATTTTTATTGCTGTTAATATTTTTCCTTCAAAAATGTATTGCTGATAATAATTTTTCCTCAAAAAATTTATTGCTGGTATTTAAAACTATTTTTACATTCATAATGTTTTCAGACCAGTTTGGGGTTTAACTACTTGACAATGTTTGGGACCCTAGCAGGTGCTACCACCCCGTTGGATCTTGGAACAGCAGCAATTAAGAGGTGGTTCCACGCTCCTCAAAATCTCGTGATCAGAGGCCTTGCTGTCGGATGTAGTTTATCGTCTTACCCAGGACACATCTTGTCTGGTGCTTCTGCAGTGTATCCAGAGATTCTAAACAGAATCCAAAGTGGAATCTGCAATATTATCAGTCCTGACCTGTCAACTCGCTTCAGTGACTTTCCCGCCGTCGTAACGCAGATTCCCTGTGACTTTTCGATAAATATTTTAATGATAATTTTGATGTTGTTAAACTTTCTCCTTTGACACCTTGACTACATGAATTTAAGCATGTTGCGGAGGCGGAAATTGGTAACCTGCAAGAGAGAACCTTGTTGTTGTTACTGTTGTGGAGGTTAATTTATTCTCCGCCTCAGAAAACGTAAATCTAAGCGTCAAACAAAAGAGGATATTGATTAGGGATAAATAAATATATATTTTATTTACATATATACAAAGATTGGTAACTTCGATCTATTGCAGTTGCTAAAACAACAGGTAGAGGGAGTGGTGAAATTAGAAATGAAATGGACGTTGGTGAAGGCCGTTGTCGTCGGTGGCGTCTCTAACTCAGTGTGTCGGTGTTGACATCAAACGCCGGTCTGTGTCGAGTGTCGAGTCTCTTTCTCTCTCTGTCTCTCTGTGTCTCTCTCTCTCAGCGTATCAGTGTGAAGTATCAGAGAGAGTTGTGAAATTAGAAGTGAAATGGACGTTGCTGGTGGCGTCTTTATCTGCGGCATCTCTCACTCAGCGTGTCTGTCGGTTTTGATATCCAACGCCGGTCTGTGTTAGGTCTGTTTAAATTTGGGTATATATAGTTTTTAGTCGGCTCAAAATTTTGGTTTTTGAGCGGGGGTGGCTCTGACTGGTTATAATATCATTAATTTTGTTTTGGTTAAAGCGGGTGTATGCGTGGAACTGCTGCCTAGAAAACGTATCTATGTAGTCTGCTTTGGGTCGTCGAGCGGTCAACATCCAGAAAATATAAGCGGCACAACAAGCGCAATACTAGCTTGGCAAATAGGTATCAATCCATTTTACTGTTGAAATTGCTGAATGTAACCCTAAGTTCTATTTAAATAATTTCTTTGACTTCTCGCTTGTGGAACTCTTCCGGCTTCTTTTCTGTCAACTACGATCTTGAAAAATTTAAACGCAACGTCAATCATTTGTTGGCCACTTACTCCTCAACGTTTTCTCACTTTCTTTCATTCTCAAATAGTTGATCAATATTGGAAGCACAAGTAACGACGCTCAAGTCACAAAACAGGGAAAACTGGTTTGTTTTAACCTCATTTTAAAGCATCACAGCTAATTGATAGGTACCAACATTAGATCGCAGGAAAATGAGCATAGCAGGATAATAACGGCCTTAAACTTGACGAAAACAAAATTTTATCGTCAAAATATTTGTTTTTATTAGGAGGAAAGAACAAAGTAATTTTTAATTATTTTTCAAAATTTTTCTGTCTTTATTACAACATTCTAACTTGATTGAAAAACCGTGTTTCTCTTCATCCGCGAAAGTCCATTCTAAATAACACGGCAGAAATTTTGCGTTTTTTTTTTTTTTTTTTTAATGGCAGTCATTAATTTTGAAAATCTTTTAAAAATAAAAATAATTGTCGGATTTTAATGAAATTTTCAGAAACTATTCATAAATGATGGAAATTATTATATGTTTTTTTTTTTTTAAAGTCATGGTAATTTTTTTTATATCTATTACTCCCTCCACCAATAACTAATTTTATGAAAATTCAAATGTGTACATTTTCAGTAATTAATTAATTAAAAGCACAACGCTTTGAAGAAAGCAAATCATTTCGTTTTTAGTTAACACCCTTCTACCTGAAAATCAGCTCTGAATTGTAACATAGAAAACTCAATAAAACAAAAGATATTATTTAATTTCAAAAGCTTTTAGTTGCTTTTACTTGTTTTTATGAATACGGATATTATATGAAACCAAAAAACGTTTTCGATGGAAATTAAATTTTTACAACAATTATTTGTTATTTCTTAAATTATTTTATTTTTTTTTACATTAAAGTTGCTAAATATTCTAAAATTAATGAAAATGGTATACAGTTGAGTCATTGATGTAGGTTAAGTAGATAAATATCATTACAGATTATAAAATAAACCTGGTTACAATCAGTAATCTGCAAATAGATAAAAATCTAATATAAGAGGGTTTTTTTTTGTGTATCCAAAAATAGCTTAATTAAAATATACGGAAGACCGGAAGCATCATGAAAGCAATAGTCCGTCACGTGGTTTGCGTTGGTAGTAACAAACATTTTGACGATAAAATTCTGCTTTCGTCAAGTTTAAGCCGTTTTTATCATGTTATGCCTATTTAAAAATAACGAGGTAAAGAAGTTGTTCACATAAAGCTAAACTATCACTTGTGACCTTCCGTACTATAACTTTTCCTCCCGTAAGATGTCAATGCACGCACATGTAACTTGTCAATCAACACCGCTGTTAAGACCGGCTTTCTCTTATTTTAAAGTACATTTTTTTCAGCGAAAAGGTAAGTAATGTTTCAAAATATATTAAATAAACTTTATAATTTTTAATTTTCTTAATTTAAAAAAAATCATAATTGATTTTTTTAAAGAATTTTAAACGGAGACTTTCACTTTTGTAAAAAAAAGTTTTAAAAAAATGGCTGACGATCGATTTTCTGTCAATTTTGCTGATCAAAAAAAAATACAAAATTTTTAACAAAAATTTTGGATGTGCTAGAAATTATTAAAAATGTAAAAAAAATAATCAAAAAATACTATGATCTTTCCTCTTGATAATAAACATTTAGACGATAAAAAATGATGTTCATCAATTTATTATCCTGCTATGCTCATTTTCCAGCGATCTTATGTTGGTACCTACAATTGATTAACAAGCGATTTGTGCTCATCATTCCTGGAAATCATAAAATCAAGCAAGATTGAAAGTGAATAAAATAAAGTATAAATTATGGCTAGAGTTTGTATAATCACTGGCCGGCTTTTATCTTCTTTCGTTCCTAAAATTTGTTTCACTTCTCCTTCTCATCCCAGTTACAGGACAAAATTCTCAGGGTGTATGGGAACATTTCGTTTAGTATTGCATAAATATTTTAATAAACATATGCGTTTTTTTTCGAAAGGAAAAAAGACCCCTTAAACAACACCTCAAGAAAAAAAAAAGAAAAGGAAAACCCCTAAAAGAACCCCCCATTTGTTTTACTGCAAAAACAAAACCACCGAAAATAAAAAAATATAACAAAACTGAAAACAAAACCCACAAAACCGAAACAAAATAAAACCTCTAAAAACAGACATATACAAAGACAAAAAGGACAAAAAAAAAGAGACAAAAAGGACAAAAAAAAAAAAGACAAAAGGACAAAAAAAAAAAAGACAAAAGGACAAAAAAAAAAAAAGACAAAAGGACAAAAAAAAAGAGACAAAAAGGACAAAAAAAAAAGACAAAAGGACAAAAAAAAAAGAGACAAAAAAGGACAAAAAAAAAGAGACAAAAAGGACAAAAAAAAAAAAGAGACAAAAAGGACAAAAAAAAAAGAGACAAAAAGGACAAAAAAAAAAAGAGACAAAAAGGACAAAAAAAAAAAAAAACAAAAAAAAAAAAGACAAAAAGGACAAAAAAAAAAGAGACAAAAAGGACAAAAAAAAAACAGAAAAAAAGGACAAAAAAAAAGAGACAAAAAAAAAAAAAAAGAGACAAAAAGGACAAAAAAAGAGACAAAAACGACAAAAAAAAAAGAGACAAAAACGACAAAAAAAGAGACAAAAGACAAAATACAGCAACTCATTTAAAAAATGACAAAACACGGTGATTTATCTGATTTTAAGGGCATTTTCCGTACTTATTAAATGAAAGATTACAGAAGATTATCTATTACTGAATAGGTTATTTTGTTAGGAATCTGTGGAAATATTTATGCTTATTCCTCCAGTAACATTACGATATCTCGTGCGTATTTTTTTAACTTAATGGATGTTCGTGATTTTTCTTTCTTTTTTTTATTACAGTTATATAAAAGAAAACACCCGAAGATGTTATTTCAATAAAAAAAAAAAAATGCAACATCAATGTGAATATATTGTAAATTCTTGCCGAACCTTACCAAAAATAATTCAATAAAACTCAAAACATTCTTTAAGAATTAGTGTTTGCATAATTTAATATGTTATTTTTTTTTCGGATTTGACAGGAACAAATCTACACAGAATATTTTAAAAATACTTGTTATTTTTTAGAGCGATTTTGCGCAACTAAAGATTTTTTTTTTAAATTAAATAGACATTTGCAGAATGTAAAAGTGTAGAGTTCAATGCCATTTTTATGTGTGAACAGTTTTATTTAAATCATTTTTCATTTTTACAACTGTTAGATTATCTTTTGTATGGAAGTTCAAAAGGGAAATCAATTCTTAATGTTTTGTTCAGTTTTTTGGACAAAATCTTTTCTTATTTCAATGCGCGCTCGAATTTTGGAGTCATATTTTTTATCTTCTGTTAAAAACATTTCCAAGATATTTAAACAGTCGTTTGAAACAAAACATTTGTCTTAAAACAGTATTTTTTTTTTTGTTAGGGAAATAGGTATCCCACATTCACTGACAGTTATCGCTATTACAAGTACGGAGAGCAATTTCCTTCCTAACCTTTTGTTTAAGACAATGTGGCGAGTGAACATCTTCATTACATGATTAATTTTCCCTACTCGTTATATATGCTATCCATTTTAGTTGTTGCTGCTTTTGAAAATCTTCAAGTGACGTGGTTTTTGTTATTTGGCAAAATTATTGGGGATTCTTTAGCCCCATGAGTCTATGAGTTCTGATAAAGGATAGTCTTCTTTAAGACTTACAGGCTTCACTCGCTTGAAGCTATTTTTTAATCACCTGAGAAAACGGTTATATGCAGCTGATAGTTGAGACATTTATGAACGAGTTGGATGCTATGAACGATATTCTGTATGTGATTTTAGATCTGATGGTTCGATTTAAAAACGTGATTCAATTTCTTGGGTTATTATTTTGGTTTAGTAGCAAGGGGTGGTGTTGGGAAAAACTAAGACTGGTTTAACCAACGTTCAATTTCCTTATATCCTATACTTTAATATTTATTAATTCCATATTCTGAATTTTAACGAGGAATTCAGGGTAGAGGCTTTCACTGCTTTCATTCCATTTCCAGATCTTTGTTTCTCTTTTGCAAAGGTTCATACTGAGTCTTATTTCTTGGAATATTTGATACAGATGGATTCATTTTGATTATGGATTCAGGGTAGGTACCATCACTGCTTTCATTCCAATTCCAGATCATAGTTTCTGTTTTGGAAAGGTTTATTTTGAGTCTTATTTCTTGTAGCTCTTGATAGAGCATGTCTTCATTTTGATTATGGATTCTGGGTAGGTGCCATCACTGCTTTCATTCCAATTCCAGATCATAGTTTCTGTTTCAGAAAGGTTTATTTTGAGTCCTATTTCTTGGAGCACTTGATAAATCAAAGTCTTTCTCAGTTTCATCAGTTTTCATGTTCTTAAGCCTTCTCAAGAATTCTTTGTTTTCTACCGTCACAAACCAGTCCTAAAACATGTTTGCACCTACTGAATTACCTTAGGGATCTATTGCACAGCTGCTGCATTTCCCCAGTTTAAGCATTAGGGAAAAGTGTAAACTCTGTAAAAACAGTTTTAGGTTGAATGGTTGATTCATCATCAATGAAATAGGTTCCCTTACTAGAGTTTTCTGGTAATGATGGGGACTAAACATCCAGCTGGGTTAAAAAAAACAAAAAACAAGACCAGTCAAAGAGCGGATTGTGAGGTCAATGTATATTTACCGCAATGGTGTAGACAGAGCTCCATTGAGAATATGCAAATCAGTGAGGTGACAACCCTGCGTCGGTCTGTTTTGTTTTACGTTATATCAACCTCAGTGGGTTATTTAATGCCGACAATACTTTTATTACTGGTAATATTTTTTTCTTAAAAAATGTATAAAAGATGAACTCAGAGAAGGTCACCAATGAGGACTTGATTATGACGCACTGGAAATAACTGTTGATGCTAACCAAACATTTATAGCAAAGTAACCCAGTGGGCACTTCAGGATTAGCCATATGTCTCTTCATTACTAACTGAAAATCTTCTTGCTATGAACCGCTACCTCCTAGAGAAGGCTGCCCCGATTAATACAGTCTGAACATCTTCAAGTTTATGTTTTGTTTTACAGTATATCAACCTCAATGTATTAACACCTATTTTTACATTTTCACAGTGTTTTGACCCCAATTTGGGAGTTAACTATTTACCCATAGCTGGGACCCTAACAGCTGCTACCATCCCGGGTCAGAGTGGACCTGAGAACACCAGCAATTAAGAGGTGGTTTCACGCTCGTCAAAACCTCCTGATCAGAGGCCTTGCTGTTGGATGTAGTTTATCGTCGTGCCCAGGACCACTCGGTGTCGGTGGGCGAAGGGCTTCTTCAGCTGAAGCCGATGGTCAGGGTACATGGTTTACCCGATGGAATCAATGGTAACGTGTTTGTGCACAAGCCGAGCTTGATACCGTCTGTAGTTTGACATAGAATGGTGTGGTGTGTCTACTCCGTCTACTTGGACAAAACAAGCTACTCACGAATTAATACTTCCCTATCGTTCAACCCAGATGTGTAGAGGGAACTGGTCAGGTGATCAGGTGCATAACGATCCTACAACCCCTGGTGGTCATTGGACTCATGTGATAGTTTTAGGCAACATATGGTATATATGCATTTCAAACATATAGCAATGTTTTTTTTTACGAAATTTATTTCCGTATCTGTCTATATTTCTGAGATGAGGTATTATGTACATTATTTACATTATTCGGACTATTGTCCTCATCTTTGTCGCCATATTTATTACAACGTTTTGACCGTTGTATGCTCCGGCCTTCTTCAGTTGGTTGGAATGTCGAACTGAATCCTTTATTTCGCTCACTGGTGTAGATTGTTCTAGTTTCACGTGCCATGTTTTAACAGATGTCAGTTATCCGTTATCTCCTGTTAATTCCCCTCTCCAAGTTCTCCACCGCCTTAACCAGGTATTGAACTCACACTCTTTGGGTCCTGTCACTACCCCAGTGAGCGAAATAAAGGGTTCAATTCGACATTCCAACCACCTGAAGAAGGCCGGAGCGTACAACGGCCAAAAGGTTGTAATAAATATGGCGACAAAGATGAGGACAATAGAAGTTAATTTCTGTTAATTCGTGTGTTACGACATTTTAGTCCATTTCTGAAAAATGGACTAAAATGTCGGAACCTACATAACATGTTTCTACTTTTTTATCTCAGAGACCCTTTCAACAACATCGTGTGTGTGTGTGTGTGTGTATTCCAAATTTGCTGTATTTATAGGGGAGTTTCGGTATCGATATTAGATGGCCAAATCATGGGTTTGTTTTGTTAAGGCTTAACCACTTCCTTTGCAGATTATTTAAAGCCAGAAAATATATTTAGATTACAATTATTTTTTGTGGGGGGGGGGAATAATGGTTTAGCAAAAGTGATGTCTCATACTCTTACCTAGGATATTTCGAACCCATCTGAAATTGGAACTCGGCTCTCCGATTAACAATTCCGAGCCATTATCCATTACGCCATCTGCACATCCAAGCTTACAGTACCTGGTATTCCTAAGCGGTTACCCATCTAGGTATTGACCAGGCTCGACGTTGCTTAACATCGGTGATCGTACGGGAACTCGACTCTCCGATTAACAATTCCGAGTCATTATCCATTACACCATCCGCACATCCAAGATTACAGCACCTGGTTACACAAGGAGGAATATCACTGATGATCGTTTAAGGTGCGAAACTGCCAATAATAACGCTTTGTTAATTTCTATGTTCACAGTGTTTATATATGTATTATCTGTAACTTAGTTGCAATAAAGATATATGAAATTATAACAGAACCCTACTTGGATTCGAAACCCTGACAAGCACTGTGCTAACTTTCTTCTGTTTAACAATATGTTAAAAGTAACTTAGAAGAGAGCCACTACCCTTATCCAAAGCAGGGGGGCAGGAGAACGAAACTTTAATTCTAGAAAGGGAGTACCACTATACGTGCAACCTTTTCAAATAGACAAGACGCATTTATATATAAAGTCACATTTGAAAACTTAAGATTAAAAACGGAGTAGCAAAATATGTTATTATTGATAGCCTGAATAGACGTATATTAAAGAAATCTACTTGACAAAATGGTGGATCGGGTTTCTATTGTTGAAAAGAAGTAAACTGATCCATCAAGAATTACTATAAACTGGAAAAATGTATCCAAACACTCATGCAGTAAAACCTAATAATCTTAAGATCTGAACAAAATAAGGTGACATTTTAATTGGACTGTGTGAACAAATATTAATATAAGATTTACTGGAAAAATTGGTGGGGTGGTGGTGGTTGGTTAGATGTTATTAAATTCTAAGTGGATACACCAGTATTACTGAATTTTGATACAAGTGGAAAATTTATTTAAAAACCCTCATTTGAAATCCTAATAATCGTAATAAATGGTAAATTATGTCATCATTTTGACGGGAATTTCTTAATACGGTAAACGCAATAAGCAGTAAGTAGAGATCCGTTTTTTTTAAAAGAGTAAAATATTAACTGGCTCAGAGATCAAAAGTTTTATTGAGAGAGAGAGAGAGGGAGGGAGAGAGAGAGGGAGGGAGAGGGAGGGGAGAGAGAGAGAGAGAAAGGGAGAGGGAGAGGAGAGAGAGAGAGAGAGAGGGAGAGAGAGAGAGAGAGAGGGAGAGAGAGAGAGAGAGAGAGAGAGAGGAGAGAGAGGGAGAGAGAGAGAGAGAGAGAGAAAGAGGGAGGGAGAGAGAGAGAGAGAGAGGAGAGAGAGAGAGAGGGAGAGAGAGAGGGGAGGGAGAGAGAGAGGAGAGGGAGGGAGAGAGGAGGGAGGAGGAGAGAGAGATAGAGGGAGGAGGAGAGAGAGAGAGAGGGAGGAGAGAGAGGGAGGGAGAGGAGAGAGAGGAGAGAAATCCATTTGAGAGAGAGAGGAGAGAGAGAGACAAAGAGAGAGAGAGAAAAGGAGAGAGAGAGACAAAGGAGAGAGAGAGACAAAGGGAGAGAGAGAGAAAAGGAGAGAGAGAGAGGGAAAGAAAGAGAGAGACAAAGGAGAGAGAGAGAGAAAGAAAAAAGACACGGATAGAAGGGGAAAGATAGAGAGACAAAAGAAAAAGAGATAAGAGATGCGTTTATTAAGTAGGGTAATTGAGCCTTGCTTTGCTGTAATAACATCCTGTAGCTTAATGGTAAAATCAACTTGGCTTGACAGTGATTTCCCAAATTAAGAAAGGGAATAAAGATTCAGTTCCTGTCGATAGACATTTCCTACCAGACTTTTGATCAAGTAGATAACAATTTCAATGTTAAAAAAAAAATCAAAACAAGAATTATTCAACCAAATCTCTTCGCTGGATTTCATTTTAAATGATGTTGCCTTTTTTTTAATATAATTAATAGACAGATAAATATCCAAAGGACATATCATTGAAGATTTTGAAATAAGTCCTTTGAACTTTTATGTCTCTATGACCTATTGTTAACTTTTTTTTTTTTTTAATATCAAGCAGGTTATTTATTAAAAAAATGCGTTAAGCTCCCGGTAAATTACTGATTGATGTGTTTAGTGTTTTGTTATTGACTGATTTGTCCTCTACGGCTTATCAACCCATTGCTGGTATTTAAAGCGAGTAAGATTTTGTTTTTTTAGATAATAATGGTTTAGTGATATAAATCTTACTAATTAACCCATAGATGGAGGAGAAGAAGTAGATTGTTTATCAAATTCAGATTAGGTATCAAACAAGAAATTTTGTGGATATAAGGTGGGGGATCAATTCTATATTAAAATCAATATATAAACTGATCCCTCACTTTCTGGAGATGGTAGTTTCTCTACATTTAGATTCTAGAGAATGGAAATAAATCTAAAAGAAATGCCTGTCTGACTAATCAGTATTTAATTGATTGAGTGTTTGATTTGTTTTCTACGGCTTATCTACCCTTTGCACTTTATTTAAAGCCAGTAAGAATTTCTTTTCTAAATAATAATAGTATAATGATACAAATCTTGCGAATTAACCCCCCATACCTTGGTGGGGAGAAGAGGGGGATTCATGCTTTCCCCAAGGATATTTGCGCACAAGTTAACGAACCCAATTGGAATTGAAACTCAGCTTTCTGGTTAATAATCCCCAGCCTGAATCCATTACACCAGCCATACATTCAAGTTCCAAGCAGCTGGTATTCCGAAGCTGTCACCCATCTAGGTACTAACCAGCCTTGACGTTGCTTAACTTCGGTGATTGTACAGGAACCGGTGTTTCAACGTGATGTGGCCAGAAGCACTTGTTTTGTTCAGTCTAAATGATTTTAATCAATTCACCCCAAACAAGGCGATAATGCCACTAAGACGCAAGAGGTTACTTGTAGTGAAAAGACTTTAGTGAGGAGAAAGGACAATAAAGGAACAGGCTTCGGGAAGACAGAAGATGGCAATTGGCGTTACACTCACCAAAAACTTTAATGCAAATTCAGAGAAACAAGAAACAAGATGATCGAGAAGTGTGAGTGAAGAAACTATTAGAATAATACGGTTGATTGCGAGCTCAACAGTAAAACTGTGAGACCTAATTGCCAATCTAGTAATACGCTTAAGTTTATGGAGTTGAGGAACTAAAGAGTAAAGCTCATCAGAACAATTGTCATGAAAATATTTGTAGACAAGACAGAAGGAAGCCATATAAGGTCGATGAGTAAGTGATTGAAGTCGAGATGCTAGGTCAGAATTGATTGCATTAGAAGACCTTCTTTGGATTTTGTCAAGAATCTCGAGATATATACGGGGAGAATCAGACCTGATATAGCAGCAATATTCTATACACAGACGAATGGTAGATTTATAAATGTACAAGATGGATTCAGACGATAAAAATTTTCTGTCACGACACAGTAAACCAACTTTCCTAGCAGTCGACGTAGCAATTGATTCAATATAATCACTCCACGTAGAAAGCGCAGATTTGATCACTTGGTGGTTAGCATCAGCCATGCTGATATCAAACAGAAAAAGTTCTATATAGTTGTTAAAGGATAGCAGTTTCGTTTTGGAGGCGTTAAGCATAAATTATTTCTTGCCCCAGTTATCAACTGATTGGACGTCATTTTAGAGAACAGATGCCAGTATTAATTTGCCAGTTTATAATTATTTTAAAAAACAAACAATGGATTTGATCAACGCAAATCAAAATAATACATTAAACCTGAAACAAAATAATATACATATAAAATATCCATTACACCACCTGCATATGTGTGCCGTGTGAGATCATTGTAGATTTTAATATTATCCAAACAAAACAAAGATATTTAAATAAGTTTTTTTATGGTACAAAATTTAAGGATAGCTAGGGATAAGCAAAATTTATATGGCATTTTAAAAAAATTTGATATATATTTTTTCCTTTCATTCGTTATATTAATTTAATTTACACGCCTGTCTATATTTCTGAGATGAGGTATTATGTCCATTATTTACATTATTCGGACTATTGTCCTCATCTTTGTCACCATATTTATTACAACGTTTCAGCCTTTCAGGATCGATCTATATTTCTGAGATGAGGTATTATGTACATTATTTACATTATTCGGACTATTGTCGTCATATTTATTACAACGTTTCGGCCTTTCAGTATCTGACTATATTTCTGAGATGAGGTATTATGTACATTATTTACTTTATTCGGAGTATTGTCCTCATCTTTGTCGCCATATTTATCACAACGTTTCGGCCATTGTACGCTCCGGCCGTCCTCAGGTGGTTGGAATTTCGAACTGAACCCTTTATTTCGCTCACTGGGGCAGACTGTTCCATTTCCACGTGCCATGTTTGATGGATGTCAGTTATCAGTTATCTCCTCAAGGACACATGGCACAGTGGATAAAGACTTGGTTAGATCCAGTGACAGGACCCAAAGAGTGTGAGTTCAATACTCGGTTAAGGCAGTGGAGAACTTTCAGAGGGAAATTAGTAGGGGATAACTGATAGCTGACATCCATTAAAACATGTCACGTGGAACTAGAACAGTCTACCCCAGCGAGCGAAATAAAGGGTTCAGTTCGAAATTCCAACCACTTGAAGGCCGGAGCGCACAACGGCCGAAACGTTGTGATAAATATGGCGACAAAGATGAGGACAATAGTCCTAATAATGTAAATAGTGTAATTTACACGCTTATATATTTTTTATATCCCAGAAAATAAACTTGATAAGTCTGGGACGAAACCGGTTGTTCTTTTTTAAAATGCCAAATAAATATTGCTTCCAGATATGTTATATTCCTGAGATGAGGTGTAACTATTTACAATATTTAGATTGTTCGGACTCATCTTTATTGTCACAACGTTTCGGCCATTGTACGTTCCGGCCTTCTTCAGGATATGTGTATATTTCTGAGATAAGGTATTGGAACTATTTACATTATTTAAATTGTTCGGATTATTGTCCTCATCCTTGTCATATTCACAATGTTTCGGCCGTTGTATGCTCCGGTTTTCAGGCGATATACGTTGGAATTTCGAACCGAACCCTTTTAGTCCATTGAGGTAGATTCTTCTAGTTCCACATGCCATGCCTTTTTCTGGATATGCCAGTTTCAGTTAATTCCCTTTGGCAATTCAATTCTCTAAGTTTTTGCTCACCAGTGCTATAGCCAGGCATTGAACTTACAACTCTTTGGGTCAAGTCACTGGATTACTTCAATCAACGTTTTCATCCATGTGTCCCTCGGGGACTAAAAGGTTTCGGTTCGAAATTCTAACGTATATCACCTGAAGAAGGCCAAAGCGTACAACGACCGAAACTTCGTGAATATGCCAATAAAGACGAGGACAACAGTCCGAATCATGTAAATAGTGTAAATGTTTCTAGGTTTAGTAAATATGGCACAAGTTCGGGGAAGCGAGATTCGTTTTAAAATTTGCTTTTGCCAGCTAAGTTTACTCAAACACTGATTGCTGGCACCTACGTCAATTATGTTTCTACAAAGCCCGCTTTAAGTGCTCCTGATAGATAAGACGGCCAACAACCAGACTCACTGGACATGAATGGAGCGATTAAAAGCTGGACAGATGTCTAGATAAACAGATGAAGACAATTTGGTATAAATAAGAAAAGTGTCAAGCACTTGAATAGAAAGTTGGTCACATCAGTAGCTGACTTGATGAATAGTTTCAAACAAACGAAATGAAAGAAAAGGAAGGATAAAAAAAAGCCTGCAACTGCAGAGATCAACTGATCAGCTGATGCATCGAACACGTTCGTTCACCAAATGTATAATGTTCTCTGTAAAAAGAACAAAACCAATGGCTATTTCTCCTCGATAAGTGTATCAAGATTTGACCTTTCTCAGTGGATACAAGCGATACCAAGAAACACGTAGAATAACATAAGTGTGTAAAGGTTCCAGTGTGGCGTAAAGTGATAATTTTGTTTTTGTTCCGGTTAAAAGATGTCGGCTGCATTTATTCTTGTACAAATGAGTGAGATCTTGAAGACCCCAGCCCCACCCTCTCAAAAAAAAAAAAAAAAAAAAAAAAAAAGAAAGAAAAATAAAAGAAATCCTCGATTATTTTGTTATTGCCCAACGTTTGTGTCCTAGCAAGAAGGGTGTGGACTACAAACGCGTATCCCCCACACAAGAAATAACGTCTCTGCCCCCCAGTGTTGCAGATTTCAAAATCAGTTTTACTGAATACATTCTGCGCAGACGGAGTCGGAAACTATACCACGTGACAAAAAGAAAGAATAATAAACCAATCAGATCACTATTTTAGTTTTCAAGACGTACTCGTTTTCAGAGGGATGCACTTGGGCCCGGTACCATCACCTCCTCACTTTTAATAAGGCACTTACGCTGAAGATTTTATGAAGGCCTTTTTCTGTCTCTCAATCACCGTCTTCTCTCTTCACTCTCTCACTTTCCTATCCTCAGTTGATCTAAATTGATTACCTTCTCAAGACTATAGAGACTTGAGGGATCAGTTTATAAATGAGATGTAATATGAAATTAATCCCTCATTTAGTCAATCTTGAGTCTCCTCAACTTGAAAATAAGCAATTGAAATCTTGGTCTTTTAACTCGGCTCCATAATATTAGCAGGGTGTGATATAAATGGCCAACATTTGAAAGTTTAAGATTCCCTTATTTGATTTTAACAATTTCACTGCTAAGGGTGTACTTCCTGAAGCTTAACACTACAAGTGCGCACAAGACAGGGAGTGCCGTTGAAACACGAGAAAAGTCATCAGCATGTCAAGTTCAAATTTCATTGCATTCCGCGACCCCCCTCCAGTTTTGGTTGAATAGGAGAGAATACTGGGATCTATATTTTTGGTAGGGGAATCAATTTAGCAGCTCAGCTGAGGATAGGAGAGAGACGAAAGAGAGACGAAAGAGAGACGAAAGAGAGACGAAAGAGAGACGAAAGAGAGACGAAAGAGAGACGAAAGAGAGACGAAAGAGAGACGAAAGAGAGACGAAAGAGAGAAAGAGAGAAAAAGAGAAAAGAGACGAAAGAGAGAAAGAGACGAAAGAGAGACGAAAGAGAGACGAAAGAGAAACGAAAGAGAGACGAAAGAGAAACGAAAGAGAGACGAAAGAGAAACGAAAGAGAGACGAAAGAGAAACGAAAGAGGACGAAAGAGAAACGAAAGAGTGGAGATAGAAAAGAGAAACGAAAGAGAGACGAAAGAGAGACGAAAAAGATAAAAAGAGAGACGAAAGAGAGAGAAGAAGAGAGAGACAAAGAAACGAAAAAAGAAGACGAAAGAGAAATGAAAGAGAGACGAAAGAAACGAGAAAGAGAAACGAAAGAAGGTTTAGACGAAAGAGGAGAGAGACGAAAGAGAGATGAAAGAGGAGATAGACGAAAGAGAGAAAAGAGAATAGATGAAAGAAAATGAAAGAGTGGAGATAGACGGAAGAGATAGACGAAAGAGAGACGAAAGAGTGGAGATAGACGAAAGAGAGACGAAAGAGAGATGAGAAAAAGAAAGAGGAGATAGACGAAAGAAAGAGAAATGAAAGAGGGAGATAGACGAAAGAGAAACGAAAGAGTGGAGAGATAACGAAAAAGAAGGAGATAGACGAAAGAACGAAAGAGTGGAGATAGACGAAAGAGAGACGAAAAATGAAAGAGTGGAGAGACGAAAGAGAAACGAAAGAGTGAGAGAAAAAGAGAAATGGAAAGAAAGATAGACGAAAGAGAAACGAGAGATAGAAAGAAATGAAAGAGTGGAGAGACGAAAGAGAAACGAAAGAGAAATGAAAGATGAGGAGATTGTGGAGAGAGATAGATGAAAGAAATGAAAGAGAAAAATGAACTGTCTCATTCTGAAAGAGAAACGAAAAGATAGACGAAAAGAAAATGAAATGGAGAGAACGAAAGAGAAACGAAAGAGTGGAGATAGACGAAAGAGAAACGAAAGAGTGGAGAGAAATGAGACGAAAGAGAAACGAAACGAAAGAGAAAGGAGAGAGAGACGAAAGAGAAACGAAAGAGGTGGAGATAGACGGAGAGATGAAAAAATGAAAGAGAATAGACGAAAGAGGGACGATAGACGAAAGAGAAAAAGAAAGAGGAGATAGACGAAAGAGAAACGAAAGAGTGGAGATAGACGAAAGAGAAACGAAAGAGTGGAGATAGACGAAAGAGAAACGAAAGAGTGGAGATAGACGAAAGAGAAACGAAAGAGTGGAGATAGACGAAAGAGAAACGAAAGAGGGAGAAAGAGAAACGAGAAGAGACGAAAGAAATGAAAGTGGAGATAGACGAAAAAAAGAGACGAAAGAGTGGAGATAGATAAAGAGAAATGAAAGATAGAGAGAGACGAAAGAGGGAGATAGACGAAAGAGAAAATGAAAAGAGAATAGAGAGACACGAAAGAGACGAAAGAGAGAGAGAAATAGAGTGGAGAGACACGAAAGAGTGGAGAGAGAATAAAAGAGAAACGAAAGAGTGGAGATAGACGAAAGAGAAACGAAAGAGTGGAGAGACAAAGAAATGACGAAAGAGTGGAGAAATGAAAGAGAGATATGAAAGAGAAACGAGGGAGAATAGAGAAACAAAGAGTGGGAGATAGACGAAAGAGAGACGAAAGAGTGGAGAGAGAATAGAGAGACACGAAAGAGTGGAGAGAGAATAGAGAGACACGAAAGAGTGGAGAGAGAATAGAGAGACGAAAGAGAGAGAGAGAAAAGAGAGATGAGAAAGAGAGAGACGAAAGAGAGAAATCAGACAAAGAGAGACGAAAGAGTGGAGATAGACGAAAGAGAGAAAAGAGAAAAGAGATAGAGAAAGAGAGCAAGAGAATAGACGAAAAGAAAAGAGATAGACGAAAGAGAGACGAAAGAGTGGAAAAAGAAGAATAAACACGAAAGAGTGGAGAGAGAATAGAGACACAAAAGAAAGAGAATAGAAACGAAAGAGTGGAGAGAGAATAGAGAGACACGAAAGAGTGGAGAGAGAATAGAGAGACACGAAAGAGTGGAGAGAGAATAGAGAGACACGAAAGAGTGGAGAGAGAATAGAGAGACACGAAAGAGTGGAGAGAGAATGAAGAGCAGGGTTTTTGAGAAGAGAAGAGAGAGAGAGAGCAAGAGAAGAGAGAGAGAGAGAGAGAGAGCAAGAAAAGAAAAGAAAAAGAAAGAGAAATAGAAAAAAGCATTTTTCATTTTTTTTTTTTTTCTTCAGTGCAAAGATTCCATTTTTTTCTTTTATTCCTGGGAGATCTTTGGTGAATTTTGTCAAAGATGCAAATCAGCAACAGCCTAAGGGAAAATCCGGATGCACCATTTGAACAACAACAACGCCCCAGCTGCTTGGAGATCAAAATGATGGGCAGGAGCAACAAGATGTAGTTAATGACATATTTCATCTCACTTTTCGTTTGCATTAAAAACACTAATTAACACAGATTTTTTTTTCCTTATGAAAAACTGACTTCTCAGATGTATTATAAAAATGTTTATGCAAGCCCCTGCAATTTTCTCAGTCAAAATAGCAGAAGGCAAACAGATTTGAGAAGATATCTAGAAAATTTGTAGAATTTACAAAATCAAAATGTTTATTATTTTTTTTGTTTCTTTTTACCCCTGGTGGAAAATTATTTCTTATGCTTAAAGTTCTGGGAAGACGTCTTATTCCTCTGTTTAGCACTATGTCCATTGGTAGCAACTGTTATTTCTTATGACTACAAAATATATATTAAAAAAATGGCTAATATTTCATTCCAGCCTTGCGTTTGTGACCAGGATAATATTTCTGAAATGTATCTATTCCCTGTCTATATTTCTGAGATGAGGTATTATGTACGCCTTTATCCACTTTGCCATGTGTCCTCAAGGACACATGACACAGTGGATAAAGGCGTTGGTTAGATCCAGTGACAGACCCAAAGAAGGTGTGTTCAATACCTGGTTAAGGCAGTGGAGAACTTTCAGAGGTAAAATTAGCAGGAGATAACTGATAACTGACATCCATCAAACATGGGACGTGGAACTAGAACAGTTTACCCCAGTGATCGAAATAAAGGGTTCAGTTCGAAATTCCAACCACCTGAAGAAGGCCGGAGCGTACAACGGCCGAAACGTTGTGACAAATATGGCGACAAAGATGAGGACAATAGTCCGACTAATGTAAATACTGTATCTATTCCCATTGGAAAACAGGTGAATAGGAATATTCTTGTTCATGCAAAGCAGGAACAAAAAGACATAGGATTCAAAACACGCATTTATTTATTCTTGGATTACACAAGAGACCACAAATCTTTAGAATGGAGATTTTATTCTATTTTTTACGATTTACACTTATCCTCATTATTTACATTACTCGGACTATTGTCCTCATCTTTGTCGCCATATTTATTACAACGTTTCGGCCATTGTACGCTTCGGCCTTCTTCAGGTGGTCAGAATGTCGAACTGAACCCTTTATTTCGCTTACTGGGGTAGACTGTTCTAGTTCCACGTGTCATGTTTAATGGATGTCAGTTAACAGTTATCTCCTGTTAATTCCCCTCTCCAAGTTTTCCACTGCCTTAACCAGGTTTTGAACTCACACTCACATGGCAGAGTGGATAAAGGCATTGGTTAGATCCAGTGACAGGACCCAAAGAGTCTGAGTTCAATACCCGGTTAAGACAGTGAAGAACTTGGAGAGGGGAATTAACAGGAGATAACTGACATCCATTAGACATGGAACGTGGAACTAGTCTGCTCCAGTGAGCGAAATAAAGGGTTCAGTTTGACATTCCAACCACCTAAAGAAGGCCAAGGCGTTGTAATAAATATGGCAACAAACATGAGGACACTAGTCCGCATAATGTAAATAATGTACATAATACCTCATCTCAGAAATATACACATTTACACTTATACTGTAAATTATTTTCACGAATTGCCCCCCCATATACAGGGTGTTCCAAAAAATGCACTACCATTGATAACATTGTAAATTTTATTATTTATTTACCAAATGGAATCATGTTTCTGTATTTGATTATATTATTAACCTTAGAAAACTAACCATCATTTAAAGTTACACCACTACCAACCATGGGTATATAATACCCGATTTTAAAAATATAAAAAAAAAATTAAATATAAATCCTTATTTGAAATTTTATATGCAGGCATTTCAAACTTTGTACTTTGAGTTAACATTAATAGGAACTGAAAAAAACATTTAGGTAAGAAAATCAGGTACTGAAAATTGTAATTAAAAATAGGAAAATTTGCGCTGGGTACTATATACCCATGGTTAGTGGTCTAGGGTTAAATTTTATTGGTCGAATTATGGAAGATGGTGTCATGCAAATTTTTCTGAGGCTGCTATTTCATAAGTGTACGTTTTCTACCAATTGTCGCGTGACTTTTGTTACACTCTGTAGTCTACGTTTTTGTTACATGATCCGTGGTAGCTAGAACGATCAGAAAATTCTCCTTCAGCAACTCCGTGCTGAATACGTCTGGAATAAAAATGGAAAATCGGTTTGTTTTAAA